GTCAAGAAGTTCTTCCTAATGTTTAGCTGAAAACTCTTCTGATTGAATTTCAACCCGTTGGTTCTGGTCCAACCTTCTGCAGCAACATAAAACAACTCCACACCATCCTCTGTATGACGGCCCCTCAAGTACGTGAAGATGAAGTACTGAGAAGGCGGCTAGCCTGACCATTTTCTATACATGTCCAAGCGATGTGCAGGACTATTGTGGTCAGTGTGGCCATTTCTCTCTCTAGTCTCTGTGCAGGCAGCCATCCCACAGGGCGAGGAAGGATGGTGTGCCCTGTAGAAGCCAGACTAGCAGCTTCTGCAGTGACCAGCGTGGTTCTCTCTTTGCCTTTTGTGATGAGGCAGGCCGGGGCAGGGGGTGTTCTGTGTGCCCTCCAGGGACATCCAGAGGGCAGTACGGGCATCATGGTACTTCCAAGCAGTAGTGCAGTTTGAAAAGGTTAGATGTGGGGCTGCTGCATGGTTTAAGATGTCACATGCGCTTCCCTTGTAAAGCTGCCGTCTGCTTTGGGGGCCTCCCTGCGGAGCCCATGAATCAGGCCCCTGACCTGGCTCTGATAGCACCACTGCTTCCAGAACGCCCACCTCTCCTCTTGAGGCCTGGGGCCACAACTCTTGATTCTCAAAAGCTGTCAGAACTCCAGGGGGAGGAGCACACAAAGGTGCAGCTCCAGGACGTGCCCTTCCCCACTGCAACAACGAGGCCATCCACTGGAGAGGGAGATATGCCTGAAAGCCGTGGGAGTAACCAATCTGGAGGAGCTGTGTTTGCAGGGAGTGGGTCTGCCCCAGGATCTGAGACCTAGCCTCGGATCTGCCTCCCCCACAGTCTCCCTTTTGCACGAGAAAAGGCAAAACCGAGAGGCTAGTGACTTCCCCCCTTGTGAAATCTTGCACGCAAAAAACATACATTCAGATTAGTTCCTTTCCCCTCCTCCTCTCAAATCGCCCCCCTTTCTCTTTTCCCCCCTCACAGATAGGAGAACTTGAAAGATTTGTTATTCTTTTCAATAGAAAATACTTGTCATTGTGTAAGTTTGGACTCAGTGCTCTTGGGAATGCAGGCCATGGCTGTTTCCACACCTGAAAAGGTGTGCGTTGGAGGGAGCTCCTGCATGCCTGGTCTGAACTACAAATGCTTTTAGAATGGCCTCGGTGGCCACAGGATGGAGCTGTGCCCACCATCCCTTGTAGTTTAACCCAGCCCTGTCTGTGGAGGAGGAGGAGGAGATTGGATTTATACCCTGCCCTTCACTCGGAGTCTCAGAGCAGCTTACAAGCTCCTTTCCCTTCCCCTCCCCACAACAGACACCCTGTGAGGTAGGTGGGGCTAAGAGAGTTCTTTCCAGAACTGTCCTTGAGAGAACAGCTCTGACCAGAACTATGGCTTGCCCAAGGTCATCCAGCAGCTGCGTGTGGAGGAGTGGGGAATCAAATCCAGTCCTCCCAGATTAGAGTCCGCACACTTAGCCACGACACCAAACTGGCTGTGGATGGTGGAGGGCAGCTCTGCCACCAGGTCCTGCTGGAGGGTTGAGGTAGCTGGCTGGCCACTGTTGGAAACAGGAGCCCGGGTCTGATCCAGGTGGGCTTTTCACAGATACTGTCAGGCCGGTCTTCCTGTATTTCAGGAGTGGTTTCCCTCAGACCAACTGGTGAGCCGATGACCGAGTCAAAGGGATGACAGCCTGATCATTTTTTCTCCCAGTTTGTGACACAGCACACAGCCTGCACAAGCATCCCAAAACACACAAACTTTGTGCTGAACTTTCTTGCATCTAGGACATACCCCAGTTTTGGGGTTCGTCGCTCATTCCAAGGAACTCTGTACGAGGTTAAGAACACTAAAGTTTGTATGTTGTTGTATCGTCTTACTGGGCACGCCAGCTGGGCTCCTGCACTTGACCTCGTGTGGGCCAGGTGAGCCCGAGAAAGGTTAGGGAACTGCGCTGCTGGCCATGTTCCCCCCACCAAGAAGCCCACCAGGTCCCCTCCCCAGCCATCTCTCCTAAGCCCCTCCCCTCATAGCTGGCACCCACATCCGTCGCCTTCTTTTCTGCCTGTTCCAGTTTCTCCTGGGCATCCTTCAGGGCTTCTGAATATTTATCCAGCTCGTCCTCAGTGCCTTTCAGCTTCTTTTGCAGAGCTACCAGCTCATCTTCCACCTGTCCAGAGAGGAAACACAGTCATGTGAGAAGGATTGCTGTGGGGAGAAATGGCTGGGAACGTTCCCCATGACCCAGATCTTCCCTTCCACGATACCCTGAGGAGTTCAAGTCATGCCGTTCCACCACCACCATCCATTTCCCTTTCCCTTTTTGGACCATCAATACTTTCAGCACTTTGGACTTCCTACCTTGTCAGGTGGTGGGTGGTGCTCTTCTGTTTCAAGCTACACATTTGTATGCCTACCTGGGTGATCCGCCAAGGTCTGTGGGCAGCCTTGTTTCAGCACCCTGCTGAGAACAACTGGGGGATCCACAAGGAATGACAAGGGACACAGACACACCCTTCCATAGTATCATTGTGTACCGTTGCCAGGCTTTGGGGCCAGAGGTATTGTGCTCTCAATTGCCTAACAGTGCTCTGCTCAGAACCCTGACAGAGACTCGCTCCCAGGTGTATCTGATTGGGGTTCTCCACCTATCTGTGGCATGCATTTTAAACCAGGAGGGGGGTTCTTGGGGGGGGTACAGGTATGTGTTGTGCTCTCATCATCTGGCACCTCAGCAGTTGAGGCCAGGAACAGGAGTGCCCCAGCTGTTCACCTGGCCCTGTACCTGAGTGGGACCTTGGCAGGACAGTGATACACATTCACCTCTTCTCTATGCTGCCCAAGAGAGTGGAGGCAACTCTCCTGCCTCCCCCAGCCCTGATTCACCTTTCATTTGAGAACACTTCGATTGATCAGGGACTGAGCCCCCTTCACAGCGTCAACTCCAGAGGGTTGCGTGACTTGTTTGGATCAAAAGAGCTGCACTGCCTGCAACCTAGTTTTTGCTCCACACACAAATACAGCAGGCTCTTCTAAGCCTCTAGAAATTTAACGCATCCTGGACTGATGGGGGGGGGGTACATAAATTATCCCTTCACTTAATTTGTTCGTTTCTGCCCTGCCTTTCTCCCCAATGGGGACCCTCCCCTTAAGGTATGGACTAAGCCTGCAGTCCATCAGAGCCCTCCAAAGCAGCCAGTCAAGAGCTCAGGCGACAGGGCACGGGGCTTGTGGCTGTAGCCCTCTGGCCAATGCCACGCACATGCAAAGCACAGAGCCTGGTGGTGGGAACTGCATGTGAAGGTCACGTCACACCAGAGAGGGGGCACTTAGTGCAAAAAGACAAGGGAGGGGACAGGTATTGTGCTCTCAATTGCCTAACAGTGCTCTGCTCAGAACCCTGACAGAGACTCGCTCCCAGGTGTATCTGATTGGGGTTCTCCACCTATCTGTGGCATGCATTTTAAACCAGGAGGGGGGTTATTGGGGGGGTACAGGTATGTCCTTCCTCCTTGCAAGGGTCTCCACTGCCCCATGCCTGTCTTTGCATGCTTCCGTCTCCATCTTGCCTTTTCAGACCTGGACCTGGCCTGGTGGAACATGCTTTCCAACCAATGCTCCCTCTAAGCTGTGGAGTCTTGTGAGCAGAAATCCTACCTTTGTGAGCTACTGGCATTAAAGTTGTGAGCGAGCCATTTGCCTACTGCATAAATCAGTTTGCTCCAGAGCCTTCCTTCCTGAGCTAAGACAGAAATGTGTGAGCCGGAGGCTGAAAAACTGTGAGCTAGCTCATGCTAACTCAGCTTAGAGGGAACACTGCTTCCAACTGAGATCAGGGTCTTGCGAAATCTGCTGCAATTGCACAGGGCCTGTAAAGCAGCGCTGTTCCACCAGACTTTTGGTGGAGGCAGCAGATTACAAGCAATGCCCCCTCTAAGCTGTGGAGTCTTGTGAGCAAAAATTCTACTTTGTGAGCTGCTGGTATTGTGAGCGAGCGATTTGGCTACTGCATAAATTAGTTTGCTCTGGAGCCCTCCTTCCTGAGCTGAGACAAAAACGTGTGAGCTGGAGGCTAAAAAAACTGAGCGAGTTCACTCTGACTCAGCTTAGAGGGAACACTGATTACAAGGAACATCACCCTCCCCTGCCTCAATTACTCCATGGCAATGTTGAATTTACTGATGCCAGGAGTGGCTGAGCTATTCCATCAGAGCAATCCGCTTGCCTTCCCCGTTATAAACTCAGTGTGCACTAGAATATCACTAACCACCGAGCTGTCCGTCAGGTAATTTCAATTAGTTATTCCAGTTTTAAATGGTTGGGATTCATATTCTTAATGATTCAGTGTTTTTATGGGATTGCTCAGTTGCTGATATGTTGTGAGCTGCTCTGAGCCCGCTTGCAGGGTAGGGCAGGATATAAATCTCTAAATAAATAAGCGCGTGCTTCCCAGCATCCTGTGGCAAACATGGCTGCCCAACAGCCTCTAGCAGGCCTCCTTCCTGTATGCCCAGTCGGGCGAGTGGCCGGAGAACCACTCCTGGGTGTGGGAGGGGTGGGTTCTGGTCTGGCCTCCGCCCTGTTTGCTGTTTCTGGGCAAACACTTCTACTACTACCACCACTGAAACAACGGGGTTGGGAGCGGTCCCCGGAAGAACTGCCATAAATTGGCATGGCACTGATGCTGCTGGACTGGCTTGGACCATCGACAGGACAATTTCACCTAAGGAAATGATCGTTACCATCCTCAGAGACCATCTTGTTTGTATGGAGCACTTTATCTGTTTTGTTGTGATTTAATAGTTTTTACTGTTTTATATTGCTTTATGTATGGGCTTGTGCCCCTGTGTAAGCCGCCCTGAGCCCATTCGCGGGGAGGGTGGGGTAAAAATGCAAATAAATAAAATAAAAGTGTGGCCTTTCTGGCAAGCATTCCCTTTCTGGGAATCCAACCCATGCCTCCCATTCGCCTTTCCCCAGGGGTGGGATTGCCTTTTGGGGAGGGTGTCGTTGTGTGCTCCCTGGCTACCTCCCCAGTGTCCGCATTGGAGCTTCTGCCTCCCACTGTGTGTGTTCAGGATCTGGACCCTTGGAGTGAGAGGTCTGGTGTGGTCCACTGGGAGTGCCTCTGTCAACTGGGCTGCTAGCACAGGAACACTGTGGCCGGAACAGCCATGCCCTCCTCCCGTGCATCCGCCTGGCCAAAGGGACTCAGACCCACGCCTGCAGAGCTTGCTGGAGCATGTTGGCCCCAGGATCCTGCTGCTCACACCGCCTGCCTCCCTGAGACTAGGGGGGCCAGTCATTCTTTTCTGCCTGCCTTCTGGGGCTCTGCAGATGGGTGGCTCTATGAGGTCCGGAGTGTGTGGTTGGTTGCGTCTATGGGTGCTGTTCATGGGGGCAGCAGTGGCATGCTCTTCCATGGATGGGGGATGTCAGCAGGCCTGTAGCCAGGATTTTTAAGGTTGGGGGCATTCAAATTCCTTAAGGGGCACTGGCGAATTGAATTAAAGGAATACCCAACTCCCCCAGGGCTCTTTTTGTAGCAGGAATCCCTTTGCATATTAGGCCACACCCCTTAATGTAGCCAATCCTCCAAGAGCTTACAGAGCTCTTCTTACAGGAGCTACTGTAAGCTCTTGGAGGATTGGCTACATTAGGGGTCTGTTGCTTAATATGCAAAGGAGTACCTGCTACAAAAAGAGCCCTGCAGGGGTCCTGGGCTAGATGGGAAGTCGTGGGGCCTTGCCAGTAAGTCAGGGGGCCTAGCCCCTAGATGCCCCAGTGTAGCTACAGGTCTGGATGTCAGTGGGGTTGCCGTGCACTCTGGTGTGATCATGTTTAGGGTCCCAAGGGGCTTTTGTATCACTTATTTCCCCTTGGTGGAAGGGCCACAAGATACCGACTGATGCCGGTATCAGTATATGCTAGTATCAGAGTTACAGCTCCTCTTAGGACTCCATGTTAACAACACAGCAAGAATGAAGAAACATGTAACAACATGTAGAAAATTAATATGGGAATAATATAAGAGGAGTACCTGCTATATTACTTTTTTACAAGTATTATTCAAAAAAAATTCTACTTACAGCTTTGAATTTGCTTCAGTTTAACATTTAAATAATACTTCATTCCTTTTTCCTAATAAAATAACTCAGATCAAGTTTTGTTTTTGTTTTTACTATGGGGAGGACATCAATTAACATGGGGTATTCCCCCAATTTTGTTTATATGTCAAAATAACATCCTAAGTCAGGCCACATTCTAGGGCGTTGGGAAAATGTCCAGTTCACAGGTTTTTCCAGATAAGCCAGATCCACATTGTTAATCAGAACAGATAAGCTCCCGGCCCTGCCCTGGATAGCCCAGGCAAACCCAATCTCCTCAGATCTCGGGAACTAAGCAGTGTCGACTCTGCCAAGTACTGGGATGGGAGGCCTCCTTGGAATACCAGCAGCCGGGAGGCAGGGGCAGGCTTTATTCAGCCACCTTTCTGAATATGTTCCAGGCCCCCCAGTACGGGTCAGTCACCAGAGGTCGCCATGACTTCCGGATGCACACACTCACACCCACATGCACATAAGAGTACAAATATGAAAGAGAGAGAAAGAGACAAGCTTCCACAGAAGACAGCTGGACGGAGGTTCCAGATCCAGCCTTCTAATTTATCTTCGGCCTTCCCTCCAAAGAGTTCAGGGCAATATCCCTGCTTGAAATCCGCTTCAGCAGCAGCCCCTGAAGCTCAGACAGTGGATGTCTGCAGCAGAGACTTCAGAATCCTGGTGGCCCCTCTGAGGCAGAGGAGTTGCATGTGGAGCTCTAGCTAATTGGATGGGCTGGCTGACAACCAGCTCCCCTACGCCCCTCATTCTCTCCTTGGATGCCTTTTGCCACCCTCCTATCGCAGGGCTGGCGTGTCACCTTCCCTATCAGTCCATGCTCACTTTGGAAAAGCTGCTATTTATATCCTGTGGAGCAAGAGCAGGAGAGCTGTCTGCCCCTCTTCTGCAGAGAAGACCCACTGTCTCAGTGCTGGGTGGCACTCGCTAGGTGTCACTTAGGGTTGCCATCTCCAGGTTGAGAAATTCCTGGATATTTGGGGGTAGAGCCTAGGGAGGGCAGGAACCTCAGCAGGGTCTAATGCCATAGAGTCTACCCTCCGAAGCAGCCCTTTTCTCTGTCATCTGTTGTCATTCCAGGAGATATCCGGGTCCCACCTGGAGGTTGGCAACATTAGTCACTGGTCAAGCTGTGGGGGCTCCTATGCTTTCCCTCTCTCTTTCTTTCTCATGCCCACTGGCAACAGGTGGAGGGGTCCTAGCCAATGTTCCCTCTAAGCTGCGGAGTCTTGTGAGCAAAAATTCTACTTTGTGAGCCGCTGGCATTAAAGTTGTGAGCGAGGCATTTGGCTACTGCATAAATCAGTTTGCTCCGGAGCCCTCCTTCCTGAGCTAAGACAAAAATGTGTGAGCTGGAGGCTAAAAAACTGTGAGCTAGCTCACACTAACTCAGCTTAGAGGGAACACTGGGCCCAGCAGGCCTCTGCTGCACCACATTCAATTTGGTTGTGGCCAAAGTCCGGCAGGTGCTGCAGCTGCTGCATGCCTTCACCTGAACTCGGGGATACAGAACAAAAAAAAACACTTTTCACTAAGTACATCGAGGCTCCTTCCCTGTCCTGCCAGGGCAGAACCACTTCCTTCTGGAGAGACCGACCCCAGAAGGATCAAGGATGCATATAGCCACTCACGGCAAAGTTTCAGTTAGGAACTGGGCCAGTCTCTATGCAGGATTCCCCCCCCCAATGCCCTCTGTAATCCTAACCACAATGAGAAGTAGAGAAGAAGAAGAGGAGGAGGAGATTTTATACCCCGCCCTTCACTACCCAAAGAAGTCTCCGAGTGGCTTACAAACTCCAGAGGGGAAGGTGCCAAGCTCCTCCAGGGTCGCCAAGGGCCCCGGGGTGCATCGTCACCCTCCTTGCTGTGCTGCCCAAAGCAGACACTTGAGCGGCTTGTCTTGGAGAACCGTTTGGCGAGCTCGCCTCAGTCCCCCCCTTCCCAGTCTGGATTATGGGTACACCACAACAACGGATCTCTTCACAGACTTCTATGCAAGGTTGCCGAGAGGCTCTCTGAGAAGTGCTTCCAGCCCTCCAGCAATGAACTACAGGAATCCTTTGTACAGCACGGACCAGTGCCCCCCCTCTCACCTGCTTGCACTTGTCCTCAGCTGCTTTCTTGTCTGCCTCCGCCTGCTCTGCCCGGTCGATGGCATTCTCCTTGTCCAGCTTCAGCATCTGCATCTTCTTCTTGATGGCCTCCATCCTGGCAGCGTCTCTCTTCGAGCAGGAGAGTGTGGGCTGAGGTCCTTTGTGAAGGGGCAGAAGAGTGGGGCGCCTGGGCGGTCTGCGATAGTTTTAAACTCTGGCTGGGCCTCCCTGGATGTTCCCGTAGCTGCCACGTCCCTTGTGGGCCCCCAGGACTATCGCAGGCAGACCTTTCTCAGAGATAAGTTGGAACAGACTCAGTGGTGGACTCTTTAGTACTTGGACATCACCTTATTTGGGGCTTGGCTTCTTTAAAGAGAGAAAAGGACCCTTGTTTCCATTTTTAACTCCCCAGCAGAAGCAAGAGCAAATGCCTGGGCAGAAAACAAAACCCCACCGCCACGGCCGAGCAGGGAAATGGAAGGCTCGGCCACAGGAAATGGCCCGGCTCTTCCAAAGCCAGGCATGAATGAATGAATTTATTCACGGTCATTGACCAACATGTAAACCGCTTTACATTTTGTAACATAGAAAGAAAACATCACATTAAAATAGAGGCAAAATTTTAAAGACTGATTGTAAAAACGATAAAACCATAATGGTTAAAATTAATAAAACTAAATCTTCGTTCTCCTCTTTTCAAGCTACTCTTCCAAAGCCAGGAGGAATGGGCACCACCGAGCTGTGGCAAAGTGATCCGCTCCTGCTAAGCCAAAAAGAGGATGTTATTTCAACAAAGAAATGGGATAGAGCAGACAGCAGACCAATGCCCCCTCTAAGCTGTGGAGTCTTGTGAGCAAAAATTCTACTTCGTGAGCTCCTGGCAATAAAGTTGTGAGCGAGGGATTGGGCTACTGCATCAATTAGTTCGCTCCGGAGCCCTCCTTCCTGAGCGGAGACAAAAATGTGTGAGCTGGAGGCTAAAAAGCTTTGAGCTATCTCACACTAACTCAGCTTAGAGGCAACATTGCAGCAGACCATCCACATTGTTACTGTTATTCCTGATGAGCCAGAATTAGCTTGCATGCTTTTAATGCTTCAGTGTTTTCGAGCTGCCCCTTGAGGATTCCCAGTTAAAGGATAACTTTCCAGGGGTCTCTCTATTCATTTTGTAAACCCTCCAGAAACACAACAAACACGACAAAGCACAACTCAATCCTTACACCTCCCATCAGCCAGCCGAGCTTAATTCACAACTGCAAACAGGAAACGGCTTTGGTCCCCACCAGTGTTCCCTCTAAGCTGAGTTAGTGTGAGCTAGCTCACAGTTTTTTCGCCTCCAGCTCCCGCAGGAAGGAGGGCTCCAGAGCCAACTAATTGATGCAGTAGCCAAATCACCTGCTCACAACTTTAATGCCAGTAGCTCACAAAGTAGGATTTTGGCTCATGGGACTCCACAGCTTAGAGGGAACATTGGTCCCCACTACCACCCGCCAGGTCAGAGAGTTGGGGATAGCCTGTCTACACCAACGGAGAAGAGGGCCAACCACCCACCCACTGGGGCAAGCTCAAGGGGCGGGCCAGGAACCGGCCCGGGGACCTGCGTCATTGGGAACCTGGGGTCTGGTGGTTGGCCCCGGGTCAACACCCCCGGGTGCTCAGGGAAGGAGTTGGGGTGCTCCAACCCCGGCCGGCCTGAGGCCTACCAGCCATGCAAGGAGGGAAAGGAGGTGGGGCCTGGCTGTGGCAATGACGGGGGACTGACAGAGAAGAGGAAGGATGGATCTCCTCAGGAGGAGGGGGGAAACTAACTGGACCGACGGCTTACTTGCTGTAAGGTGGGGCGGGGGCACAGGTGGGAATGAAGAGGAGGCGAAAAGGCACAACCGGGGAGGATGTGGTCGGCGTTTAGGTGAACTTGGGAGCCGAGTGTGGAGAGCCAGCTGTGGACGCCTCACCTGGGCAAAGAAAGAGAGAAGGGGATGACCTTGTCGCAGCTCGGTGTAACACTGGTCCCAGAACTTAAACCCCAATGGACGGCAGGTGTGAAGCAACACCCAACTGCCCAGGTGTCTGAGGTAATGCCAGACGCAACCCCTCACCTTCCCGGCATGCCCGCCCGCCGACCTTGCAGTCCCTAGTTGTGACGGATCCGAACCTGAGAGTTGGGTCAATTTATGGAGGACGTTTCTACGGCTAGTTATGAACCATGACAGCTGACTGCAACCTCCAGGCTTGGCAGCAGAATGCCTCCGATGGTCAAATGCAGGGGAGCACGCAGCCAGGGAGGGCGGCTGGTTGCCACTGCCAGCCCTGTTTGCAGCAAGTAACTGGTCAGTCTTGGAAGCACTCTTGGGTGCTGGACTAGATGGACTGTAAAGGTAAAGGTTCCCTTGCTCGAAAGCCATTCGAGTCCGACTCTAGGGTTGCGGTGCTCATCTCCGTTTCAAAGCCGAAGAGCCAGCGTTGTCCGAAGACGTTTCCGTGGTCATGTGGCCGGCATGACTAAACCCCAAGGGGCACGGAACGCTGTTACCTTCCCACTGAAGTGATACCTATTTATCTACTGGCAATTTCTTGCTTTCGAACTGCTAGGTTGGCAGGAGCTGGAACTAGAGACGGGAGCTCACTCCGTCATGCGGCACACTCGGGTCTCGAACTGCTGAACTACCGACCTTCCACAGCCTGCAGTTCAGCGTCTTAACCACTTGAGCCACCGCAGCTGGACTGATGGATTGTCTAATCCGGCAGGGCAACACTTGCATTCTTAATCTCATCCCCTTGCAGTGTGTAGAAAATGTTGCAGAATAGTTTCCAAAAGTTCAGCCACAGCCTATTCTACATACCTTTCTGATCTCTGGAACAAATGTAGAGTCCAGTGGCACCTTTAAGACCAACAAAGGTTTATTCAAGGTGTGAGCTTTTGTTTGCAAGGCACACTTTTTCAAATCCATTGGAATGGTAGGAGAGGTTCTAAACTTTTAGACAGGGATTTAACAGCAAATCAACATGCAACATGATGATGTTTAAGTTATGCAAAGTGAAAAACTAAATAACAAGTGAAGGTTATAATTGCTGTTAATTTGCTGTTAAATCCCTGTCTAAAAGTTTAGAACCTCTCCTACCATTCCAATGGATTTGAAAAAGTGTGCCTCGCACACAAAAGATCATACCTTCGATGTGTAATTCGACCCTATGGGACGCTACCGCCATCAGCATTTTATCTTTTTATATGTATTTATATGTAATCATATAATTTGTTGCATACTATGTTATTGCATGGTTTCAATGCATCTGTGGTTTAACGTATTTTAACCTACTGTAAACCGCCCTGAGCCTGCTATGCGAGGAGGGCAGGGTATAAATCGAATAAAATAAATAAATAAATACCTTGAATAAACCTTTGTTGGTCTTAAAGGTGCCACTGGACTCTACATTTGCTGTACTGCTTCAGACTGACATGGCTGGCTACCTGGATCTGTCTGAGCTCCATCACGTACAAAATCATTGTTGCCAGCAAGAATTCCTTTGAGCATACACAGAGTGTCCAAAGAGTTACCAGTCAAAAGCCACTCTGAAGACTTGCATGTCCCAATACGAAGCACTTTGCAAAAGAGAACCTTGGAGTATGGGGTGGCAGACCCTAGGAGGCTCAGATATTGTAAGCGTTCATTGTCAGTCTTGCCCACTCTTGTCCCTTGGAGAGAACAGCACATTTCTCAGCCACTCCAAAATAATGACAATTCCTCCAAAATCTCTATACTAGAACACCTGTGCTGTGTTGCAACTGGTTAGCATCATACCGTTACGATTGTAACAAGTGCTGACAGGACACACAGTAGAAGCGGAGCTTGGAATGGAAGCTTGGTGGAAACTGGATCCGTCCCACAGGAAATGGGGAGACAGTGGCCTGTAGCCTTGTATGGCAAAGTCAGCACCGACATCAAGGGAATTGCGTGAGGCCACATTGGCAGGCCCAGGGCTGGGACAGTGACAGCAGGCAGGAGATAATGAGTGTCGGCTGCTAGAAACCAGGTCTGGGGGTGGGGAGGAGAGGAGGGAGAGAAGGTTAGCCAGCATGACATGAATCAGAAATGCTGAGCTAGAGCAGGCCATCTAGGGCCACATCAACTTCTGGATCTCTGGGAAGCTCATGGAAGTGACAGTCTTGTTTATTATTTCGGCGGGGTATAAATCCAATCTCTTATCTTCTTCTTCTTCTTCAATTTATAACCCCACACCCTCTTCACTACGGAGGACTCAGGGCAGTTTACAGCAGAGGTGTCGAACTCGTTTCTTACAAGGGCCAAATCTGACATAAATGTCACTTTGCTGGGCCGGACCATGCGTGCAATAAAATGTAACACGAAGTACTGGAGACAAAAACTTTATAAAGGTGATTTCAGATGTCAAATGGCAATAGCAGGTGAATGACAATAGCAGGCTTGATTGGAGTAGGTGTGATATGCAGAGGAGTAGTAGGCGTGGAGATACCAAAATTGGCAATGAGACAGGAAACCTAGGTCTCAATTCCATACAGGAGGATTCAGTCCAGGAGGATGTAAAGAATAAATGGACATGAGTCTGACATTAGAAACCACAATGTTCAGTTGCTGACCTAAAAGTAGCAGTGCTCTTACAAAGGAATTTCAAAGGGACAGTAGAAAGAGAGACTGCTGAATTGCGATTGATAATGAAGCTCAAGACAATGCGTCCTCCTGGACTGAATTGACACCTAGGTTTCCTGTCTCATTACCAATGTGTGCTATTATCATTTGGCATCTAAAATCACTCCACGCTCCAAGATTCAAGGACCAATCCAGGTGTTCTAATTCCTAATCAGGCTCTTTCTTTCAAAAGAAAAATCCAGATAGGAACAGAGAAATCCAATCTTTTTTTTTTTTTTTTAAACTTTTCAGAATATGCCTGTGACGACCTCTTATCTGGGGAGGTCTGGTTTCCCTTTAAAAGGGTTCTTATGTTTTATTTTCCTATGGGTATCTGGCTGCCACCAGGAATATTTTAGGCTTTCCAAACCTTTATACTTTCTGTTTCTGGTTTTGGTATTGTGACCCAGGGTCTTGCCTTTCGAGGGACTATGTGTTTCCAGAGGAATAATGGATCAGGCTTCTGGGATAAACTTAAATAAAAAGGATTTATTTGAAGAGGAACAAAACTAAAGGTTGGATATTATGTAACTGGCTGGGAATAAGGTTCTTGTAACTATATTTGTCAACTGTATCACACACTCTGTCAGTTTTAGTGCTGACAGGAAT